GCTTTGACTGAGATGCTTAAGCTGCAGAGCTCTGCCTAACATTTCTTAAATTGGAATTTTAGGATAGACAAGCCTAGGATCATGGCTCTTTGGAATATTACCCTTTCCCCTCCAACCCCTGCCTGCGCCCCCTCCTCGCCCCGCCAGGCTGCCCGGGGTTCTGGCTTCTCCACCTGTGTGGTGTAGACATGCATCTTTGTTGTCCCTTCTGGTGCAGAGTGCTTCTCTCTGCTGCTTTGCCAGCTCAAGACTGAGGGCTTGGGGTTTTTTTAAAAACAAGTTTCTAATGATTATTTGTTTACAACTTGTTCTTCTTAGGCATGTAAAACTGACAATAAAGTAATATTGCTATTTAAGATAGAAAATTTAAAGTGAGCCATCATTTTTAAAGAGTTTTTTTGTGAGGCATATGAATTAGATCCTTTCTTCATTTTCTAGTTAAATAACACATTTGCTTGTTTCCTGATTTCTCTTTTAAGAAAGTTGATGGACTTGAGTGGAATACAATAATGTGGGTTGAACGGCAGTTGAGACTCTAAACAAAGGGTAATGGCGAGTGGCTGTGTGCCCAGTTGATGGAGTCTGTCTGGTCTCAGCTCAGCTAGGAACTTCATGAATGGTCTGTAATGGGAGCATCACAGTGGTGTTTTTCACTTTGAGAAATGTTAATGAGGGGGAGAGGGAAGCTCTGAGAAAGACAGTTTAATGCTTCTAATTTGATTTCTTTTTCTTCCTGTGATCATTTGGTTTCTGTTAAGTTGAAAGACTTTACACCAGAGAAGTGTAACATTCCTCTATACCATTAAAACCAGAGTTAAAAAGAAATGTGGATTTGTATACAGCCAGGAAGGTATATAGATGTTCAGGGTAGGAAAAGCTGAAAGTCATTATTTTACACTGAAGCCCAGATTGTTGAGAATACAACCTAAATAATGCTGTGCCTTCGCATTGTGCTGTAGTGTGTGTATGGTATTGAACCAAGTGCTGTTCCTAGAAGACACTTTAACATTTTTACAGTCCAGAGTGCTTACTGGTATAAGGCCCTTGCACAAAGTAGGTAATCGATAAATATTTATTGAAATACTGTATATCAAATGACAATTTTATGTTTGAGACAGTTCAGTGCTAAAGATTAGAAATAGGAAGAAAACTTTTAAGACTGAAATTCTGTGACTCCATTTTTTTAAATCATTGTCTTTTGAAAATTATCAGTACCTTAAAGCTCCAGAGAGTTTTCTGGGGGAAAAAATATAAGCCACTTTCCATTGAAAGAACATTAAGTTGGCTGAGATTTGTACTATAAAAGCCTTTGTGTATCTTAAAACCTCACACCGTATACTGCCTGGACAGAATCAGAAGGCTCCTTGACAACCCAGATTCTGGCTCTGTTTTCTGTAGCTCCAGAAAATAAGAAGAGGAGAATCTGATACTGTTGGCAGTCTGTGCTCTCTTGCTTTTCTGGGCCAAGACATGCATTTAAAAATAAAATCAAGGAAATTGTAAACCAGTAGTAAAAACAAATAAAACACCCAAGAGTTTGCCTCTTCTCAAGTCCTGTGCCCCGAGTCTCTTTTTGTCTCTAGATATCTAATAGTAAACTAATGTGACAAGACTGTGCCTTGGGGCTTGTCCTTTCTTCCCATTTAAAGTTTAAGGGACATGATCATGGAAAGACACCATGTTTACTATATCATTATTGTTTGTATCGTATGCCATGTTTCTTTAATAGCCTCTGGATACAAGTCTTTTTTTTTTTTGCTTGCAAACTTCTTTACTGAAATAATTTGGGTTATAGATTGTGGAGATAGGATTGAGAAACTGCTCAAAAATAACCCTTCTGGACCTGCTACAGGAAAGCTTAGGTGAGTAAAAAAATCAAAACCAGATGCAGTGTTTCTGTGGAATATTTTGATGCCGGTTGTTTACTTTTTTGACAGTGTAGCTTGTCTCCTTAGGTCTTTTTTTTTCTTACCCTCTTTAGACTTGTGAATTTGTGATTTGTTTTTTAGGTTATGAATTCTGTTTCAGCACATTTTATCTTAGTGATGTTTATATTTAGGTTTTTCAATAATTATTAGTGTGAGATCAGGGAAAAATTTTTATGAGCACAGGGACACGTCTTAAGCTTTGTTCCAAGTATTTTGTAGCTCTCAAGATAATTGTGGATCAGGCCTAGGATAGTTGAAGTTTTAGGTTATTACTGTGAAATCAAGTGCTATTTTTATTAATGTTAATTTGTCAGGTGTAACTTTGCTTTGGGCTAAGTAAGACATAGAGAAATGTTTTATTCTGAATTCTGACTGCTCCACTTCTTGAGCAAACCAGATCCACAGATTAGCCTTGTAAATGATCTTCTTCCTTAAGGTATCTTCTAACAGAATGGGTCTCAGGGGAACCTGAGCCCCGGCACACATTTAGCTGGGAGTGACAGTTCATCTCCCTTTGTCCATATATAGCAGTTTTGGAGGCAGACCTGCAATTTAAACTGTGTTCTGGTCTGATCAGTGTGATTTATTTTATAATTTTTATTTTTATAATTATGTGCTATAATTATAAATTATAAAATTTATATAATTTTAATATAATTTTATAAATTATAAAATATATATTACAATTATGTGTTATAATAATTATTTTTATAAATATGTGTGATGTATTTCTGACATAATCATGTAGGGGAGCTGAAATTTCTTGAGAATCTTGATTTAGAAAACTTTGAAGTCTTGATGGGGAAATACTAAATACAGTTCACGCGGTCTGGTGATCTGGAAAGAAATGACAGCATACGTAGGTCATTGAGACTTCAGTGGGCTTGTGTTTATTTGCTTGTATGAATAGAGAGATTAAAAGTTGAACATACTTAACTCTTGTAAGAGTGTCATTAAACAGTATTTTGTCAGAATTGTATACTACATGGGAAATGACCACGGAGAGACACCAGTGTTTATTTTGCCACTCTTGTTTTTACCGTGTCATTTTTGATAGCCTCTGGATATGTCTCCAAGTCTGGTTTAAAATGTTGCTCCTTCTTGGCTGTGCTCCGTCTTCGCTGCAGTGCACGGCCTCTCACTGTGCCAGCGGCTCTTGCTGTGGAGCTGGGGCTTTGGACTCCGGGCTCCTGGGCTTCAGAGGTGCGGTGCCCAGGCTCCTGGGGTCTTCCCAGGTCAGGGATTGAACCTGTCTCCTTCTCTGACAGGCTGATTCTTTCCCAGTGAGCCATCAGGGGATGACCCCCCCCCCCCCCCCACACACACACACACACACACCTTTCTTTTTAAAACTTGGAGACTACCGAATTACTCTGGATTACAGATTGCGGTGATGGGACTGGCAAACCACCCAAAAATAACCCTTTTAGACCTGCTATCTTTCTTAAAGGCAGCTTGCTGAAGAAAAATTAGATCAGGCTTTCTGAATTGCTAGATCCAGACCATCAAAAAATGCTCTGACCAAAAGGGGAAAAAGCCTGCCGGATCCACCCCCAGGAATCCTAGTGGGTCCCCATGGTAACAACCTCCTGGCTTACAACTTGTCACTGTAACTGTCACTGGAGTTCAAAGAAAAACCAGTATATCAAGGACTGTGTGGCATTAACTACTCCTTGGTAAAATGCTGTTGCACATGTGCAACAAGCCAGAAATAGAAAGTTAAAGGTTTTAATTTCTGTGTTCCATTAATTAGATGCTTTAAAAAGCTGCAAAATTATGGCAAGGTGCTGTAGTGGGAAGGTGGTGGGTGGCCGAGGCAGGCATAGGAGGAAGCCATAGGCTTAGAATGTTAGGATCTTCATTTTCTTCTCTCAGCAGCCTTTCATTTTGCAAAGTGGAAAGTGAAATGCCTTATTTAAGTTCACAGAGAAGTGGAAGCAGGATTCCAACCCATGGCTTCTAATTTTCCAGCGTTGTTCTGCTGTCTCTGCCTACACATCACATTTGCTTTGCTTCTACTTTTCAAAAACCAAGTCTCAGTTTCTGAGGTTAGGAAAAGGCCTTAGAGGTCATGCAGGGAAACTTCCTACCCAGTGGAGGAATCCCTTCTACAGCATCCTGAGCAGGTGGCCTCTGCCTCTTCCCTCAGCTGGGGTTTACTTGTCTAGTTAGCGAAAACCCCACTGCCTGAATTCAAAGAGAAGAGTTTTACATGGCTTTCTCATTTTAAAGCTGTAAGCTTTGTTTTTCTCCCTTACAAAATAGCAATTGGAAATCAGACCTGAATGTTTTTCATTAGCCTGTTTATCTCCACTTAAGTCATTCTTGTCAGTCATGACAAGATGGAATAATTTGTTGAAGAATTATGTCGTGCCTAAATCGTAGAACTTGGAAAAGATAATGCCATATTTGGAACAAGCTAGTCCTTTAACAGCTGGGAGGGAAGAGATGATAAATGCTATATTCAGCTTAAAATATTTTATAATGTGCTTATTAATAAGATGAAATGATGGTGAGCTGAAGAGTTCTGCTGTTCTCAGAAGGCCTCAAAAGAGGCCTTAAAGTATTTTAAAAGCAAAATCAAAAGCTAAATAGGCAAGGTGTTTTGTGGGGTTTTTTTTTTTGTGGTACATTTGTGACCATTACTCTCATTGTTTAGAGTAGATTGATTTACACAGAAGTGAGTTTTGGATTCAAAACCAACATTATTTTGGTAATTATTAATTGCATGTACCAAAAAAGGATTTTTTTAGGTCTGTTTTCTGGATATCATTGTTGCTCAATATGCCAGTTATTTAATGTCCCTTCAGTAAGTGCTTCAGCTTTTATTTCACTTTTCTTCTTTCCTAATTACTGGAAGGGTAGTAACAGGTAAACATTTAAGGTTATTAGCCTGAGGTTTTGTTTTTTTTAAATACCTTTTAAGCAAAGCATAAATGCATGTTTTCTAATAAAGTATACAAAAATGATTTCAGTTTCTTATAACCACGGATATTTTTTCCTCGAAGAATTTAGCATGTCTAAAAATGGAGAATTTGGCTCCAATGTTAATTTTTCTTTTTGTCTTACCAGAAAATTAAAGTGAAAATGCCGTTGGCAGTCTTTTGCTGCTTGACTTCAACACAGTAGAGAATGCTATAATGAAAATGTGGCTGAGTTTTTAATATTCTGGAATTTCATGACCACCAGCACCTCTTGGTTATGCAGCCAAGATAATTAAGGTAATCAAATATTTTAGTCATTAGCAGGTGCGGCCTGGCTCTGAGAGAAACATCTAGTCCCAGCTTCAACCCAGTGCCCTGTTCCCTCATTTAGTCCAAAACATATTATTTTTGTTGGTTGTTTTGGTTCTTAATTCGACCTGTGAGTTTTTGCATAAAAGTTCATACAATTTTTTGTGATAAGAAAGTATGCTGAATTACAGTGTAATGATAGAAACTAGCTGTTAGACTGCATGTTTTGGGTGGGAGGTGGGGAATGGGAGAGAAGGGAGGAGAGGAAGAGAAGGAATGAGACAGAGAGAGGGAGAGAGAGATGGTTGCATCTGTACCATGTTGTAGATAAGAAAACTTGAGTTAGGAACCTCAGTGAGGAGAGTAACTTATTTGGGGCATCTAGCTATCAAGTGGTAGGTCAGGGCAGGACTTTGAGTCCACATTCCAAATTCCGTGCCATTTTCCTTTGCTTTTCTTGCTTTTAGAGGCTCAGACTCATAAAAATGAGATAATTTATTTTTATAACCACTCCTTTTCATGTGGTAGTAAATTTTTAATTGTTAATCAGTCATGTAAGTTCAGTGTCTCATTTTAGAAGTTCTTACCTTGAGTTAAGGGGGAAAATGGGCATATCTGTGAACTGCTCTGATAAGATATTGTTTGTGTACCTTACCTAAACTGTTTTTACCTGTTTTCTTGTTAAAAATTAGGAGTAATTTAACCCTAACAGAAGTGGGATGGAAGTAATGGTTTTAAGGTAGGTAGCATTCATAGCACCTTCAGGTCTTTGCAAAGAAATGTATGGCATTCCTATGGGCAAATAAATGGGGGTATCCCTCCCACGGGTCATTTACTAGATGAGAAAACTAGATGTTGGATCTTTATTTGGTTCCTTAGTGAGAAATGGTGTGACATAGAAGTCTGCTGTGTTCCTTTTTTCCCCTTCTTCTTACGGTCTGGTTCTTAGCTCTGCTCCCATGTCCACAGCCATCCTTTTGGCTCTGACATTACTTAATTCTAAACAGCCATATTCCACGAGCTCCTAGAAGAGAGGAAGAAATGATGAGTCTCTCCTGGCCACTTGTGCCAAGTGGTCTGCCCTGTGACCATGTCCTCTTTTGACTGGGCCCACATTAAAGCCTGTCCCAAATGCTATCTGGATGCGTGTCCTTGCTAGCAGTCTTGTTTTTTAAGCCTCCATTTACAGGTTGATTCGCAGTGGGGAGAGCTGTGCTCGGAAACTTTGTGATAGCCTGGTTTTTCTTGTCTTGCATCTCTTTGCTTCTATTTATGCTCTCTGTACCTCTTTCTTGAGCTTGCACCTTCTGCATAGCTGACTCTATTATATCATCTTTGAGGCTGCAAAATAAAAGTTGGAAGATTTTAAAGTTAAAGTTCCCAGAATAATGTTGTCGCCCACATTGCACATATGTCACATTTTGAGTTTACTAGTTAAGCCTCTAAATATGTGCTTTATATACAGTATGTGCAGTGTGATGACTTAGGTTGCCATGAGAACCTAAAAATTTTAGGTTTAAATGGTTCAGTAACAGACACATTTTTTTCTTTTATTGTCTTAGAGGCAGGCTAGCTTTCTCTTTGATCTAATAGACTTTTTACAAATGAGATGTTAGTCAGGGCCTGTTCTCAGGGATCGCCTCTTGCTGACGGGATGGGCAGCTTCTTTGTCTGTCTGTCTGTCTGTCTGTCATCAGTCTCCTTCATTCCAGTCTGCCATGCTCTGGTTTTTTTCCCTGTCTGTCTCCTGTTACTTTGCTACAGGATAGAATTAGAAGTAGGAAACTGGAAGTCTTGCCTTCTTAGAAAAAGCAGTATACCTGGTAAGGGAGGAGCTGTCTAGTGGGACAGCCCTGAGCACATCCACAGAATTCCACTCCCTGCAGGCCTCCTGTGATAAGCTGTGGTGGGAAAATTTGCTTAGGCCTGAGCCAATTGTTGCACTAGACTTCTTTTTTTGGTAATTGAGGTATGGTTGATTTACAGTAGCTTGAGAATTTTTTAAAAAGAATTATGATGTTAGTCTGTCATGTAAAGCAATTCAGATTCCTCTTGAATTGGAATATATTATTTTGAATAATTTCTTGGCCAGGGTGACTTGTTTATTCTTGACTAGGCTTAGTCATGAAGATTCCCTCCTTTTTGGACTAGGAAGTAGAAGAGGAGATGATGGAATGTTAGATGTAACAAACTATGTATTGTTTGGTCTTTGATTCTTAAACCTGTTTTGCATCATAGACCCCCCTTTGATAATCTGGTAAAAAGCTATGGAGCTAATTTCCCTACAAATGCAATTTAAGTACATAAATTTATTTTGCATATATATGTAAAATTTTGCACATAATATAGTGGAGTTTATGGAATCCATGAAATACTGTGAATTCTGTAGGTCTGTGGACCCTAAACATGGACTCCTGATCTGGTCCAGTGCCATTTTTCTCCTGAGGATGTGGGTATCAGGAAAGAAATCACTTGCCAGAGGCCAAACTATAGGTGTGTATAGCCATTTTGATTTTGTGGTTATACTTTAATCACCCTTGGTATATATAGTTGTGATGTTTTGCATTGTGTTTATTTTTACATAAGTAATCTTAATGGATAATTAAAGTTGTGATGTCATCCAGAAAGTAGCACATTAGCCCACAGCACGCTACATTTTGGGAAATCAGAGTCGCTGTAACAGGCCTGGTCAGACTAGATTACATGTGTAAGCCACCAGCAGAGCTAAGAGAGTTTAACCTAGCATTGAACACTAGCACGTCGGCGTTTGTGGGAAGTGCCTGGACCGCCTCTCCTGCTGGAACCCTGCTGTGCTCTTTTTCAAGCCCGTCACGAGGGGGTGGACAAGGCTCTGCCTTGCTCTTGAGATCTCGGAGGTGGGGTTGAGAGATGGGTTTATCTGTGATTGGGCCTTTTGCTCATCAGTACTGAATTATGTACAACAGGCACAGAGAAGGTTTCAAATGGTTAGTTTGCCTATGAAATATAGTAAAGTAAATAATTTTGGTAGACCAATTAATTTTAAGGATTTGAAGGGTTTTCCTTTTTTGAGTTTTAGGGAAAGCATTTTGCTGGGGTGCTACCCAGTTGTTTGAGTGTTTATGTCCCGTAACCTGGACGATTGTGCACACACGTAAAGCAGACATTTCAGTGATAGAGAGGAACTAGGCAGTGCTCTCTTGTCCAGAGCTCCCCTTCATGACTGGGCGACTTAGCAAGTGTTTTGTCATCAAAGATATTCAAATGCACACTAAGTATTGGTTGATTGATTGAGAGCTAAAGTACAGAATCTTTTGAGGCCCTCAGCAGTGCATTTCTTTAATTTTCTGGGCCCCCTCCCCACCTGCCCTCTTTTTTTTTTTTTTTTTTTTAAACCATGCATTTCTTATCTGTGGAGAGTTTACTCTGGCCACAAATGAAGCTTTTCATATATACTTTATATTGAGATGAATGTGAATGAATTGTTCGAGCAGAGTAATTTTTAGAACATAAACATTTGACGTCTGATTATATAAGCCAGCATCCTGGGAAATACATTTTAAAAGTTATACATTGTAAAAGTTATATCAGGATTTATTTTAACTTGTAAATCAGAAGAGAACAAGAGACCCAAAATGCAGTCTGAGAGTTGGAATGAGACTTTTCATTCTGAAAACACCAGCGGAGGGTCCTTCACATAGATGCAGAATAACCTTTTTTGCATGTTAAATTCCAGAATTTAAAGGATAAATTAAACCTTGTGGTGGCTGCTGCTGATCTGGTAAGACTCTGACCTACTAAAGTGTTCACAACGTCTTTTCTGTCTCCCGTGGCAGAGGGACTCTTGGTGTGAGTGACTGAGATGATTGGGAATTCCTCGGCTGAGATAGGATCTTGGCGCTTTCTTCAAGCAGCAGCCTGTGTGCTTCTGTTCTTTGTCTGGAGCATGTGAACACAGTGCATGTGTGTGAGATAGCGGGGCTCAGTGGGGGCCCCCTTTCAGCAGCCATGTATGGAAAGCTCCTGCGGCCCCTGCCCCTCCCTCCCTCCCAGGCGCGGCGCGGGCCGCTCTGCGCGGCTGCTGCTCCACTTCTCCGCTTTCTGTATTTGTGCAGCAGCAGCAGGGGCGGCCCGTCCTGGCTTGGGCCTGCAGCTTGCGCTCTTACCTGCGTGCTCTGGCTGTGTACATTTCTGTAGAGGACTGAGGTTTCAGATTAAAGAGGTGACCTGTTTGCCTTGTTTTGTCAGTTATAAATGGTAAAGAATATTTCAGAAACTTGGGGGTGGGGTGACGAGGAAAGATTTGTATTCTTTAACAAAATATATTAGGGGGAGGATGCCAGACTGATAAACATAGTTTCAGAAATGACTTTGTTCTCTTAGAAACTTTTCTCATTGAAGTAGTAGTGTTTTTTCTCTTTTGTTTTTCACTAGTCACAAAGCCCAGTTCCCATACACATCTTTTTGTAAGAGGGGCTCCCCTGTGTCTCAGACTGTAAAGAATCTGCCTGCAATGCAGGAGACCCGGGTTTGATCCCTGGGTCCAGAAGACCCCCTGGAGAAGGGAATGGTAGCCCACTCCAGTATTCTTGCCTGAAGAATCCCATGGTCAGAGGAGCCTGGCGGGCAACAGTCCATGGGGTCGCAAGGAGTCGGACACAACTGAGCAACTTAACACTTTCACTTTTATAAGTCGGGGCTAAGCCTCTTCCTTTGACCTTTTGCTGGAAAAGGAACTAGGAAATGCCCCATTTCTCTGGGCTTCGCAGTGACGGTGCTGTTTGCATCGTTTCAGAGGGCTTTGTCTAGTTTGGCCTTAACAGAAAGCTCGTGAATTTTTTTGGTGTCATGTCTATTTAAGGACATGACATGTAGACAAGAGTTCGGGTTATTCCAGAGAGTATTAGGTTTGTTATATGTTTAAAGAGTACTCTCTTGCCTTGTTGTAAGGTATTCTAATTAGACAAATAAATACCTCATTCTTGATCAACTCAAGTCTAAATTTAAGT